CAATACAACTAACGTGCGAGAACCAGACTGAAAAACATTCCTGAAACACTAGAAGACAATTGGCCCGAAAGCATCATCAGCGAAGAGTGTGGGGCTATGTGATAGATCGAGTGTGTAGGATCGTATGCAGATACAGTCAAGAGTCATGGAGTCCATGAGTCATGAGTCATAAAGTCATAGAGTTACAGTGAGATAGCGTCATAGAGTCATAGTGAGATCAAGTCACAGAGTCATGGAGTCATCTATGTAGCATGCACTTGACTCGATGTAGTTCACTCTATGCTCTATGTGTGGGAACGCTTAATCGAGATCCCCGTAGCGTGGTGGCTCATAGCCCGACCGGGACCTCGAGATGCAGATACAGTCAAGAGTCATGGAGTCCATGAGTCATGAGTCATAAAGTCATAGAGTTACAGTGAGATAGCGTCATAGAGTCATAGTGAGATCAAGTCACGAGTCATGGAGTCATCTATGTACCATGCACTTGACTCGATGTAGTTCACTCTATGCTCTATGTGTGGGAACGCTTAATCGAGATCCCCGTAGCGTGGGGGCTCATAGCCCGACCTGGACCTCGAGATGCAGATACAGTCAAGAGTCATGGAGTCCATGAGTCATGAGTCATAAAGTCATAGAGTTACAGTGAGATAGCGTCATAGAGTCATAGTGAGATCAAGTCGCAGAGTCATGGAGTCATCTATGTACCATGCACTTGACTCGATGTAGTTCACTCTATGCTCTATGTGTGGGAACGCTTAATCGAGATCCCCATAGCGTGAGGGCTCATAGCCCGACCTGAACCTCGAGAGGCACATACAGTCAAGAGTCATGGAGTCCATGAGTCATGAGTCATAAAGTCATAGAGTTACAGTGAGATAGCGTCAGAAGCAAATCCCTCTCAAGCCAATCCCTGTGAAGGGTTCCGCGAGCACCGCAAAATGTGTAACTTCACCTCGCGTTCGAGCACTCGACAACGCCAATCCGTGTGAAGGGTTGCAAAATTCATCTCAATGCACATCAGAAATTGCAACTTTACCTCGCGTTCGAACACTCGACCACGCCAATCCCTGTGAAGGGTTGCAAAATGCCAATCCCTGTGAAGGGTTGCAAAATGCAGTTGAGCTGCGCCCAAACCCTGTGAAGGGTTGCGCGGCGCCCGCAAAATGTGTAACTTTACCTCGCGTTTGAACACCCGAGGAGGCGAATCCCTGTGAAGGGTTCACGGCGCCCGAAAAATTTGTAACTTTACCTCGCGTTTGAACGCCCGAGGAGGCGAATCCCTGTGAAGGGTTGCGCCGGGCGCCTAAAATGTGTAACTTTACCTCGCGTTTGAACGCCCGAGGAGGCGAATCCCTGTGAAGGGTTGCGCCGGGCGCCTAAAATGTGTAACTTTACCTCGCGTTTGAATGCCCGAGGCAGCGAATCCCTGTGAAGGGTTGCGCCGGGCGCCTAAAATGTGTAACTTTACCTAGCGTTTGAACGCCCGAGGCAGCGAATCCTTGGGAAGGGTTGCACGGGCACCGCTTTTTGTTAAAAAATGTGTAACTTTACCTAGCGTTTGGGCCCTCGCCCATGCCAATCCCTGTGAAGGGTTCACCCGGGCGCCTAAAATGTGTAACTTTACCTCGCGTTTGAACGCCCGAGGCAGCGAATCCCTGGGAAGGGTTGCATTCCCGATGGACGACAACGGTGCCACCCCTGGCTTTAGAAGAGAGAATTAGATACCGAGATGTAGAGAGTAAGTCATAGAGGCATAGAGTCAAGTAAGTAAGTAAGTAAGTAAGTAAAAGTAAGTAAGTAAGTAAGTAAGTATATAAGTATAAGTAAGTAGAGAGATAGCATAACATAGAGTCCAGTGTCAAGTGTCAAGTAAGTAAGTAAGTAGAGTGAAGTAAGTAAGTAAGTAAGTCGTAAGCATAACATAGAGTCAAGTGTCAAGTGTAGAAGAGTCCAGTGTCAAGTGTCAAGTAAGTAAGTAAGTAGAGTGAAGTAAGTAAGTAAGTAAGTCGTAAGCATAACATAGAGTCAAGTATCAAGTGTAGAGTCAAGTATCATAGAGTCAAGTGTCAAGTGTAGAGAGTCAGTCATAGAGGTCAAGTAAGTAAGTAAGTATCAAGTGTAGAGTCAAGTATCAAGTGTAGAGTAAAGTATGGAGTCAAGTAAGTTGATTCTATGTTTGTCATCTATGTACTCAGCTGCGGCGTTCCACACGGAAGAACCCTTCGCGATGCTTTCGGGAAAAAAACAGGAAGCAAACAAAACGGAAACATCGGTGAGAATACAGATTTTGAATGACACAAAGTGACACAGTGACCATTGCAGCGGCATCGCACGAACAGAGGCGAAAAAGCTAAACGGCACAAAACACAACACGTTGCTGACTTGTCTCGTTAAGACGAGTTCCGAAAGCTCTGCCACTGCTGCCTGCCACTCCGGGGCTCCCGGTGCTCGCCTTCCAGGCGCTTGCATTCCTCGAAGCGGTACACCCGCTTTCAGTTGGTTCCCCGACAACACTCCTGTTTTTCTGCACCAACAGATTCGACAAGTGCCTTCATCGCACTTTCTGCCATGGATGGACAACTCTTTCGTTTGGTTGCAGAGATAGAGTTGCCGGGAACAAGGTTGTTGTTGGTGAACCGAGCTTCAAAACCACGAAACGCTTCTTCCAAAAAAATCTTCAGGCATTGGCGTTTGTTGGTCGCTGATTTGCTCGTTCTGTGAGGTTCGGCTGCGTCAACGCGTCGAAATTGGGCGATGCGTGCAACACTGAGGGAATGGACGTATGGCACTTCTTCAGATTGACTTTCTTAAATCTCGTTATGCCAGTGGCACATGCGGAGCACTTTGCATTTGTAGGATCGTTGTGCCTGAGACCACCCGACAGTATCAGCCTGGGGTTGAGAGAAGAGAGTGTGCACGTGCCCTTCTTGCAGTCATGTGCGCATGTGTTTGCAGGCGTTCGTCACATCATGTCTGATGCAATAAACAGGTGGCCGGTTTCGAGTCCACGTTACACAAGATTTTAAAACTGTTGTCAGTGATCGTCTGTGCACCTGTATTCACATCGGACAGTGGACATCGGACTTTGGACTTGACTTGCGCCCCGAATCAGGAGTCATGTCGCCGTGATGCACGATGTGCAACGTGACCAACACGTCTCTCACGGAGTGCTTGTATTTTTCTTGCATCAAGCAATCTCGTGAAAAAAATCTTACGGCAATCAAAGTTTAGCTTAGCGGGAACGCAGAACATTTGCATCCTCATGTGTATCGGCCTCAATTAAGACGTCACGTTGGTACCCATTGTGGTTTGTAACGGACTGCAGATTGGCTTTCATCATCGATCGTGCAATGTGTTACATTGGATGGTGCTGATATGCTGCAATGAGCGACTGGATTGGGTGGAAGGATGCGATGGATTCTGGCCCATTGGTGTCTGTGGGTGTGCCTACAGTGCTGCCAGGTTTAGACGAGGCTTTGTACCGTGAGGCAGAGGAAAGGAAGCATCGCCAGCAGCTTCGGGAACAAGAGGCTTGGCTCAGTGCTTTGCAGCAATCACAGCCTAAGCTCGGCCGGACGTCGAAAGCACTTTGTCATGCCCGTTTGGAGCGTGAGCTGCGTGCAGTATTCTGCAAGTGCGCTCAGCAGTGTTATGTTGAGCTGCCTGGGCAAAGCCACTTGCTTGCAGTTCCGAGATCGAGATTAGGCGATGTGCTGGAGGCGATGGATTTTCTCTCTGCCCGTGACGAAAAAGTATTCTGTGAAAAACTAGCTCTGTTGCTAGACAGGGAGGAGACGGGAATGATCCAACTCAGCAGGCTTCTCGACTTTGTGTTGGCAGCACTCGACACTGTCTCTCACCAGCCAGACCGCCCCTCACCTTCATTGACACCGCTGAGCCTGGAAGACGAATGCTTCAACCAGTTGGAGTGGCAGCTGTCGAAAGCTTTCACACGAATGCTGTCAAATAGACACTGCCGTGCGACCACGCAGTCGTGCCATCGTCGAATGTCAGAGCGCGAGGTTCGCGAGGCCTCTCAGGAAGATGTCCCAACACCCCGCAGGCGATTGCAAAGACCGTTGTCCGCCGGGAAGTATCGGGAGAAGTGCGGGGGCAAGCCTGTGTCCCGCTGTCACCTTCTGTACCACCAGGCCATTTTTGCTGCCCGTGAAGGGGCGCAGCTTGAGGACGAGATTAAGCACTTGAAAGAATTGGAGGAGATGCGGGAATGCACGTTCAAACCTCAGCTGGTGTCGTCTTTCCGTTCATTTCGTCCGTCGCTTCGTCCACAGGTTCGCAACTTCGACTCGACAGTTGCTCGCATGAAGAATGCTCACAAGCAGCATGAAGAACAAAGAGATAGAAGCAATCGGATTCCGAGTGGAGAAAACTACGAGCGTTTGAGAAGGCTTGGAATGCAGCCTTTCTCATGTGCTTTTCGTGAGCGGAACACACGTCCCCAGCTTTTGGTGTACGTTGATGTGAAGGTGGCGCCTGGCCGGACCGGCCGCATTGGAGTGCACGAGGGTGACGACTTGGCAAAGCTTTCGCGGAACTTTGCCAAGACCTTCCAACTGGACAAACGTGCTGAGGAGCGTCTTGAGCAGCATTTGCTCCAGGCATGCGACCAGGCCGCCCAAGGACTCGTCTCGTGACGGCCTTGCCAAGCTGTAATTCAGCTGATGCTTTGAACTTATGTGTTTCACTCTAGTGGTAGTCGCATGTGGCCAATGTTTCGTCACGTTTCGCAGTCAAGAGCTGCGTAATACAGCTGCAGTTCGCCGCAGAATTGGAGTGGATCACTCCATCCGCCAACATCGACCGGTGGTGCAGAGCTCGGTGACCCGATGTCCTTCTGAAAGCGCAGATATTCCTGTCCATGGGGCCGAGCGGAATCTTAATGTGGATGAAAGATGTAGTGAGCATTAGTTGAAGAGCAGCAACAATTTAATTTACGAGCAGACTTTGACCAGTTTCTTGTGGCATGCATACTTCTAGCCATGGCTTCCGCGTCCGGATACAGCAGCCAGGAAGCCAGACATGTCTTGTCAATGTTGTCTGCGTTGCACTGGCGATGCTCCCTGTCCTTCGTCCCGGAGGATGTGGATGCTGAGTACCTGAAGAAGACCACGCAGGAGTGTTGAAAGGCGTCAAGCATGGTGACCTCATGCATGAGATGGGCATGCCCCGATCCGACCAGATTCGCACCGAATCTAAGCTCAGCACTGTCGTTTCAAGCTATCACTATCGTCATCGTGATGTTGACATTGTCATGGTCGCCACCGTTGCTGATCATGGACGTCAGTCGTTCGTGGAACAGCCACCCTCCGGCGTTCCGGCCCAAGCATCATCTGTTTCATTTCGAGTTTTGAAACGTGGCGAGGAGTATGTTCTCGCCAGCAGTGAGAAGCTTTCAACTCCGGAGGTGGAGGGATACGATTTCAACAAAGGCCTGCCGCTTGTCCACTTGAAAACTTGAGGGTGGGGGAGCCTCTTAGTCCTGCTATGAGGTCACAGCGAGAGAAAGCGTAGCAGACTTCCAGTATTCTGCACGAGTAGCATGAAATCACCGTCTGTGTCAGTAATTGCAATCCTTGGCAAGTGACTCAGCCACATGCTCTGAGCAGGTGTGGATTTCAACGATATCCTGTCGTCCTTCAGCAGCACAGGCCATGCTGTCGCACTACTGTTTTGCAGACACATGCGGCGGTTCTTCCGAACAGCCTCCCATGACTGACGCAGAACTCCTGCAGGATTCCAGGCCACCAACCTGGCAAAGGCGCTCTTTCGCAGACGGTAGGACATGTAGGACACGACAGAACTATGCATGAAAGCATCAACTTCGACGCAATGATGTGGGTCATGTGGGTACATCAGGCTATCGAAGAAGTCAACCGCATGCTGGACTGGTCCCTTGCAGATGATCCGGTGCCCGAGGACGAGGCATGTTGCAGCCGCGACTCCTGTCCAAGGGAAAGGCTTCTACGAGAGTCGAAACAGTTGCCAAACCCACAAACCGTGAAACTGCGGTTCTGCACCTGTGCTAGTATGTGGGGTTCTTGCTCCCTTCCAGCGGCATGTCGCATCATAGTGGTGCAGCTGAGCTTGGCAGGTTGATGAGTTCAAAACGGAGGAGGACCAAAGGGGATGTTCGAGAATATGGCATGTGTGCAAGTATTCTACCACAAGAACCATGCATCCGTGGCCGACTTTACACCCTCACCCAAAAGACCCGATTCCAAATTTTAGTGTTTTTCGTACATGAGGACTCTTCGTTGTTAAGAGTGGAAGTATGTTCGGAGTTCGTGCTGGTAACACGACTATGTCGTGGTGACTGAGAGGAGCGGCGAAAGGTGAGGACCAAGATTTGGCTGTCCTACACATCCAACTTGATAAGGCCGCCTACGCCGTGTGCGCTTCAGGTTGCAGAGGATCACAACTGTGCTCAGTTGTGTGTTCAGCAGTTGGCCGGCCCTAGACATATTTAACACTGATTCCTGCGTGAAGCCCCCGGCCTAGTCCCTAGACAGAAGCTGCTTCTCGCCAGCTCGGGACTTCGGGAGTGCCTGCGCTTCCTTGCGCAGCACAGCATGGTTCAAGCTCCTCAGCTAGCAGCTAGCATCTTCAGCTTCTACACATAGATGTTTCAGTGTAGTCGACAGGCATCTCTAGGTTCAAATCTGGTCATACCAGGATTGAGCGTTGGACTTGCTCGACGAGTGCTTGCACCATGAGCACACAAGGTCATGATAACCACTGCGGGTGGGATTGAGGAGGCCGCGATTCTTTGGAGCAGGGTGTGGAATGTCGGTCTGCACATGCAGTCGCTCTGCATGTAGGACATAATTAAGTGTTTGGCACCGACGCACCTCGGCGAATTCTCTTTGGATGGGACTGGACTTCGACGACGTGGTATCAATCGAATTGGCTGCCTGATCTGTTTTACATTCGGATATTCACTTGGCCTTGCACCGCGAGTGTTCAACACCCGCATGAGCTTTGAGGAAACCTCCTCGCCCCAAACGACAACTACTGTTTGTTTGAGGTGCGCAGCATCCGGTTTATTGCTTGCACGGCTAGAGACCGCTGGCTTGAGCTCGGCCTCTTCCTTGCAGCGTTTTCGATCAGGACTGGATAATGAGAATCCTCAATGCCATGCATGATGAGCAGGCAGCTTTGTTGCAACCGTTTTGCAAGAATGATACGAATAATACTACTCTGCTACTACGCCAGCTGCCTTGGGAAGAGCATCCATCTTCCACACGTTGGTGCAGAGCAGATTTTGTTCGTGCATTTCGAGGAAAACGACGGTGTTGTGTGGTCTCCGTCCAAGATGATTCATCGATTTGGCAAGGTGCGCTGCACAATGTCGCATCCAAAGTCCGTAAATCGCAGTCAAACCCTCCAACGGCAAGATCGACCAGCCTGATTTCCGGAACGCCTCTGTATCCAAACCGTTCGAAGATCCCAAGTTGAAAAGCATGGATGCGCAACGTGTGCTTCGGATCCAGGAGATCAACGACCCCGCCTCCGTCTGCTGTTGGGCATATCGCACCCACGACTTGCTTGTTTGCTTGAAACTGCTTTGTTTTGCGTTTGGCGAAGTTGCCCAGTGTGCATGCAGCTCACGTGAGGCAACAACATACCCATTTTCTGCCCAGCGATTACGGATGGCTCAATAGGAGACATGCTTTACTTCCACAGCTACAAGCGAAGTGGTCGCCTGCCCCCTAACGATTCTTGCCGTTGTGCAACTGCTTTGGAATGCTGCTCGGCGTAGGTTTTGGTAAAACTCGTGTCTGGGTGCAGCCGAGGCTTTGTGGTGGATTTGGTGCAGGACATCCGAAGAGTGAATGATGAGGCCATGAAAGCCCGGAAGACTGGCGTCATTGTTCTCGGATGCCTGGTGGCAGATTTAGACTGCATTATTAACATCCAACTTTGCTTGAACAGTGCAGCATCAAATGCTTCATCAAGCCCTAGGAGGAGGCTTGGTGAAGCACCACTGCATGAATGCGAACCTCATGCGCGGCCCGGCTGAATGGAGATCCGTTCGTTGCAGTGGGGGCTCGGATGTTCATGCGGCCGAAACAGCCAGGCCAAAGCCGCTTTATTTCTAGGCTTTCAGAGGAGCTTGCACGAAAAAACAGAGACACAGAGGGAAAGGGTAAACTAAACGCCTTTGTCAGGGGTTTTTCTGTCTTCCATCGCTGTTGCGTCCATTACCGTACGTTTCAACTTTTTGTACTACTACAACGCTTGCACCGTCCGCTGTGCCAAATGTGCTTCCCCGTTTCGCAGTTCTTGCCCAAGTCAAGGACGATCACGGACGTGTAAGTCCTAGGTCCTAGGCGGTTAATAAAGTTGGTAGTTGCTGATGGACGCCGCCGGCTTCGAACGGCTCAGATGCTTCACAGGGCCGGGATTGGGGACTTCTCTGTTTCCGAGAATCAGGAAAATTGCTAACTCCATTGTTTCTTGAGTTGAAGAATCTCGAAGATCCTCCATGTAAGTTTTTATCTGATTTTGTAGAGTGATGCCAACGACTTTGCACTTTTGGTTCAAGATGAAAAAGAGCGAACTTGAAGTTTGCTCTGCGTTCAGGGTCGGGGTCCTTGCGTTGGTTTCCCTTCCCTTCCCTTCCCTTTCGTTCCTTACCCTAACATAGCTGTGTCTCTGTTTGGGGTCGGAATAACTGGTTATCAGCCGTATCGCTTTTGTAGGTAAAGTAGTGATTCTGTGCGCTTGGCAATGGATGTGAACCTTGATAGGGATCCGGAGCGTTTGCCACGCCTACCGCCTAAGGAGCAGAAGAGAGGCTCCCGTGCGGGGAAGAGTGCTCGCAGAAAGCGAGTTGCGTGGCAACGCTTTGTTTTTGCGGAGTCGGAGTCCAGCAATCCCGGCCTTTATCTTGCTTACCTGGATATTCCGTTTCGCAGGCCTGACGGATCTGTCCGGGCGTATGGGGTGAAAGAGCCGGGAAGTAACCCGTTTCCGGAGGATACAGCTCCAGAGACGTCCCCGCCAGAAGAGGTTCCAGAGGCTTCAGCTACTCTTGTTACTCCATCGCCATCGTTTTCTTCAGCAGGGGTAAGGCTGGCTCCTACTCCTATAAGGTAAGAGCCAAGCTTTCTGTGCCGGTGAGTGGTCAGCCGTTGATTCCTCAGGCGATTGGAGCGATCCCGAGTTTCAATCGCTTGGCTTCTGGAAAGGCGGCGCCGCCTCCGCCACCGAGACCTTCTGCGAGGCGGTTGGATATTCCTGGTCCTAAGACTCCGCCTAAGGATCCGGCTCCAGTTGCAGCGCCTGTTACCCCTCCGAAGGCTCCTCCGAAGGCTCAAGAGGTTAAGAAGAAAGCCAGGCCTCAGGCCCCGAGTGCAGCAGAACCTTCAGCTCCATCTTCTTCGTCCTCATCGTTACCTAAGGAACCACCGGCGAAGCGGCCAATTGAGGTGGAAGAGGAGTGGCTTCCTGAGACTGATCCGACTATTCGTATTGATTTCAAGGGTACAAAGGTGGAGATTGTGGATCCAGATACGTGCCGCTTGGTAGGCCTCACCCGCCAATCTGTGGCACAGTACCATTACGTGGTGAGTCTGGATTTTCATAACGTCCTCGACCTCGATCACAGAGGGCAGCACGTGGCCTGGAAGCAAGATTATCCTACTTGCCCGGAGGAAGTCCAAAGGTATTTGAGCCGTTTGACGAAATTTCTTTCTCAGACCAACGGCTTGTGTATCGTGACGAGCTACTGCCACCCGGCTGACACTAAGCGTCACGTGATCAGGACGGTCGCGAACACTGTCGAGAGCCTCAGCAGGGAATTGGGTGCCAATTGCTTCGCTTTCACTGTGCTAACTCGACATCCGACTCGTCGTGGTGGCAAGGGCGATATTCTGGAACGTATCGGAGCACCTCCTCCCAATCTTCCGGCTAAGTGGAGGCTTCATTGTGACGATAGCTCAGAAATTATCGATTCGCTATCTGGGCTGGAGAAGATTGAGGGAGTGTTTATCCGTTCCTTGTGGAAGCGTCCTCAGAGGAGGCCTTCCCCGCCTGTCGCTCCGTGTGCATCGTTTGATTTTGTCCCGGATACCTACGATCACATCCGCAACTGGGTCATTCGGAACTACCCCGACTCCTTTGACTACGACCAGATTGCGTAGTCGAGAGTCTGTGTGCCTTTTCAATCCCAGAGTTAGTTTGGCTGCTTCTAGCGCCTCTGCTCTGTGGATCAGGTCGCGGCAGTATTATTCTGAGTTCAGGGTCGTCTGATCGGATGCTTCTGCGCCACAGACGGTTTTACAGGGTCTCTTGCCTGGGTTCGTAAGGCTGCTACAGCGCCACGGCCCGAACTGCATCACTGCACGTTGTGCCTTGCACTTCGAGGAAAAGGTGCTCGGTACCCTGCCGTGCAATCATGTCACAATCTCAATCAACCCCAACTGATCCAAGCTCGCTGCTTGACATTTCAAGTGCTTCGGCAGCTGCGGTTCCAGGTATGAGGGATTCCTCCTGTGCCTCTGGGGGCTCAGAGAGTAGTTCAGCTTTAGCTGAGCGTGAACGCTCCACTCCTGCCAACACAAAAGCTCTGGTCCGAACTCCCCGGAAAGCTTCAGCTCCTTACCCAGCTAGCAGTGTTCCCATCGATGGTCCCAGTGTTCCTACTGTAGTTCACAATCAAATGCTTAGCATAGGAGCAACACCTCAGCAAGTCCTCGCCGCTCAGCAATTCGCTGCTGGTGAAGCTGCCAATCGAGTCGCCGCCCAGGCGGAGCTGCTACATCAGGCTTCTATCAATGAGGTACAAGGCCAAGTCAGGGACGTGCTCAATGAAGCCGGGTCCGCGCTTGATCAGCTTCGGGAACAACTTAGGCTTTCTGAGATCAGATGTGGGGAATTGTTTGAATATGGCCAGTTCGTTGAACGCCAACTTACGGAGGCAAAGGCAGATTTGAGCAGGCTGGAGGCTGAACTATCTACCCAAACGGGTGAGCTTTCAAGAAATGAACGCTGCTCTTCAGGATTGTCAGTCGAGCAACAATGCGTTGACTTTTCAGCTTAATCAAACCCGTGTAGAGTGTCAGATCAAGGAGAGAGAGATTCAGAGGCTTCGTTCGGCTGCTCATGCGCCTCGACCTCTGGATCCCCTCCTAAACCTCCGAAGGCTCACGCTCCACCCGCCGGTACCGGGTCTGGTGTTAGTGAAGCATCTTGGACTCACCTCGAAGCTTCTGATCCTCCCACTGAGCACCTGCTGTACTTGGGTACCTTTGTTCCTCCGCCCGTATCTTCATGTCCTGTCCCCTCTCAACCTACGTCACCTGTGTCAGACCTTCGTGTGGATCAACTGATTGAGGTAATTCAACAGTTAGTCCAACAGGTCGGTCAAAATGCTACGGGTACTGCTGAGACTAATGAAGATGATGAAGTTGAAGAGCAAGAAGCTGTCAAAGAGCTTCGGGAAAAGGACATTGTCGATCAAAGGGCTCTCTTGCATCTCAAGCTTGAACCTGTTCCTTCAGATGCGGCAAGCTTCCGAACTTGGAAGAACGGTTTCAAAGTTCAGTTGTCCAAGCTTGACACTTCAGGTCAAGGTCTTGTGCTGACTTGGGTTTCTAGAGGTTTTGATGCTGAGAGAGCTGGCTTGCAAGATTCGGAGCTCCTCCCTCGTCTTGATGCATGGATAGCTGGTGAGCTGTCGTCAGGACGCGTGCTGAAGCAATCCTCCGAACTTGAACAAGATAGCACTGCTTACATAGAAAGGTGTAGTCAACTTGGACAGTCGCCCAAAGGTCGAGTGATGCTTTCTATCATCGCGAGGCATTACGACTTAGATCGGGTAAGAGGTTCTGTTCTGACTGCATCAACACTGTTTCAGATCGAGCTTGGCGGAAGTTCCATAAAGGAGTTGAGGGACTTTGTGAATCGTATTCGCCTTGTTCTCAGTGCAATTCCGGTCCAATTCCGGTCGGGCAACGACCTGATGATCGCCTTACCGGAGAATGGCTCTTCCATCGTGTAAAGCACATTCGCAAGCTTGAGCGCGTTATTGAGGACATCAGAGAGTCCGGAGCGACTTCGCAGAGGCGTGAGTGGTCTTACTTGTGGGACAAGATTCAGGATCTGATCGTTCAAGATCGCGAAGATTCCAATGCGCAATCTGTGTTGAAGTCATTGCAGTCAGCCACACCCGCTCCGAAAACGAAAGCTGTTCCTGCTGTAGATGGAGGGAATGGGAAGACGAAGGCTGCTCCTCCTGCAGCGCCTCTCCCAGGTGCCCCTTCCGAGGCTGATCCTCGTACTCCTCCTCCTCCTCCTCCTCCTCCTCCTTCTCCTCCTCCTCCTCCTCCTCCTCCTCCAATTGCACCTGGTGCCCCAGCGCCCAATGCAAATGCAAGAGCGAAATCAAAGGCGAAGGCGATGGCCATGACTGATGCAGAGAAAGCCAAGACTCCCTGCATTTTCTTCCAGATGCCGTCGGGTTGCTTTCATGGGGATAGTTGTAAGTTCAGTCACAAAGCTGCTGCGCCGAAGCCGAAAGCTAAAGCCAAGGATGGAGCCAAGAGCAAACCTGGAGCAGTAGCGAAGGCTGTCGTTGCACTTGTTGCTGCCTCTAGCTTGTGTACTCCTGTCATCTCCGCTGGTCCGTCTTATGCTGTCGAATGGGCTGCTGACACAG